ACATCCACTGCACTTAGCACACGTGGCTATCAAATCTTTAGGTAAAGCATCAGAATATTCTTTAGAAACTAGGAAAGACAACTCCACTTTAAGCCTTTTCAAATTCCTTAAACCCAGTATTGACAGTCCTGTTTCGCTAATTAAAAATTCACAAGGTATGTATGAGGAATTATCATCTCTTATTAGCAATTCACAACATCCTCGTATAGGCAGTCTGTGTCCAGTAATCCCCAATATTGATACTTCAGTGGGTCGAACCACAACGTTAGGATCTAACAATTTCAAATTCTTGAATGAAATAATGGACTCTATACTGCCTGTGTCCACAATAAAGTCATGACATGAACCAAGCGATGTATATAATCGCTTTTGAATATGATCATTACCTTTCGAAATGGTAGTCAAAGATAAATGATCATTAGGATCAGCTGAATTATTGGGATCTAAATTACATGTACTACTTGAGGCAAAATGAACAGTAGCTTTGCATACTGCTTGAATGTGTCCTATCTTACCACATCTAAAACATTGAGCATTGCGAAATGCACATGAATTACGAGAATGAAGTTCTCCACATGATAAACATTTGCCAAACTAGGTCTCACCTTTGTGATTTCCTTTGTAATTCTTTATTGAAACACCGTTCATATTTACACGAGAATAAGAACCACTGTTAAACGAACACAATTTTGATTGACCCTGAGATGGTATTTCATCATGACAACTGATCAAAGTATTAGAAATTTTCATCGGCTAAGTATCAAGTTCATTCAACGCCTCGTAGTTAATACGCGCAGTTCCAGGATCTTGAAAGGAACAGTTTGACATTATTAACAGCTCTCTTTCCAAACCCGGTATGTTAATTTCTGCGATTAATCGGTCTCACAGTTGCACATGAAGTTGATCACCGAAATTACAGTTGACAGCTTGTTTCTGCAATTCAAGAATGAATTCCTTAACCTTTTGGTCAATCTGACGAGTCATCTTATGAAATTTCTCCCTTTTACGGCATTCAAAAACTAGTGCACTTTACATTATTTAATAATAACTCCTTAATCGTTGCATAAGGAAGTGATGTAGGTTTTTCCGGATATGCCAAAGCTTTTAATAAGCTGTACCCTTATCTTCCGATGAATGTCAGGAAATGTGCCACAATCTTATCATCTTTAACATCTTTCTTGGTCATGTTCCAGATTTCAAACCTTTCCAAATAATCCTCAAAAGCTTCAGAAGCTGAATGAATATCTAACTTTTCCATCACAAGCTCCATTGGGACGCCAATATGATAATTAGAAGTATTTGAATTATAGCATGAATTAATAATCCCAGAAATAACGTAAGTGGATCAAGAACTACTAGATAAGCACGAAAGAATGAACTGTATTTAGAATTCGAAATCAGGCATTCAACAAACAAGAAGTCACTACTTCATTCAAACACCACATTTGGTCCCTTCCCAGTTGTCCTGCAAGGTACTTTTCTCGTAATAATGATAGTAATAACTTATTCTCATATAACTTGCTACAAGAGACATTCCAATTTATAGCAAGATTAAAATGTTAAAACTGTTAATAAATTTTCTGTAAAAGGTGTTCAGTTATCCAAATGTTTCATTTGATACGTTGGCATCACATAAAATTTTCCACATGAAAGTATAGATAACCTTTCAGACTCTGCGATGCATTGTTCGAATAATTGGCTCTGGTTACGACTAAAGGTAATGGTTGCAAAACATTGAGTAGATCGTGAAAGGCCTGGAACCTGATGGTGAAGGCTTTCTTGTATCCGCCGAGTTTGCCAGTATCCTAAATAAAGGCCATAATGATTTTTTGTGCCCTCATTCCCCCATTGTTCAATGCCAGTTGTTGGGGACGTTGAATCTCCAGAACTCACTTGCAAAGATCCTAATTTCGTAATTTAATCCTGAAATTTCGAATATCCTTGTTTTCGCACAATTTGGCCTTTAGCTTATATTTTCACGTAGGAAAATCCTTGAATGTCACTGGTTGATGGATTATGGCTATCCCAAGGGCGTTTCTACCATTGTATAAATAAGCATGATTTGTGTGCATAGACACTTCGCAGAATACGTCCGAAATTTATCCGTAAGTGAAGTTTAACATAAATCAATGGAGCTCGGCCATCATGGGGATGGAATATGGGTTCACTTTGACGTTTATTAATAGCCTCATCATTCGCAAATTACACGTTATTTAAAACACAGAACTTTGAATCCAGATGTTCCTCCTCCTTCTTATCTTCCGTTTTGATTGTGAAGTATTGTTTCGTGAAGGTATTTATTCCCCTAATCCTTGAGCCAATCGACACCACAAAGTACAAAATTGCATAATCATATTTGGCAAGCGTAACATCCAGATTTTCCTTGGAAAAGAACCATCGACTTTGCAAGGTTCAATTATCTGCTTCACCTTGTCCAGTAAGTGGGACGGTGTTTTGTCTCATGACTCTCACTCATTCAATAGCTAATGCTGGGAAAATCAAGATAAATATGAAAATTATTTGGTTTGAGCTTTTGTATGAGAGAATAAAAGTAAACAGCCATGTATTTATTGCGTATAAAGTTTCCGAAAAGTTAATAATGTAGTAACATTCGATAGTGAAATAAAAGTTTAAACTATGATAGTGTAGACTGGTATGGTCAAATTTTCAATTAGAACCAGGTAGAGGTCATCAAATATCAATGCGTAGGGGTACTATATACGTGGTGAGAATAAAATGAGTCAATTTACTTCAGCAAATGTAGGGCGAGATGTTATTTTTGATTAGAGTTTGTGCTGCAGTAACATTAGAATATCAAAGGTGTGTCGGGCGATCAACCGTTATCAAGGTAATAGACATAAAATTAAATGGGCTTTGTATATTTATTCGAAAAATAAACGTGAAGTAATCAAACAGTAGGAATAATAGTAAGGTGTCTCCTACTTGCGATTGGTAATCGCACCGATTAGTAGAATACACATATCACTGGGAGAAAAACTCATTAGTCAGACCCTTGTACTGTGTTATGGTTTTTGGGCAACAGGGGCTTATCAAAATTCTATTATACACATTTGAATGGCTAACGATGACGAAATTCCCACGTAAGTTTACGTGACTTCTTAGAACCGGTAGAATATTCTTCTTATTGCACAGGCTGTGAGAAAACATGCTAGAATAAGGAGATTCTGAACTTCAGTTTCAGCCACCTTCTTTGTCATGGGTATTATATGAATCCTAATAAAAAATTTATCATTTTAATTGCACAGACTCGGTTTTTATCAAATTGTCATTGATGTAATCACTTTTTTCTAGTCTGTCTTATTGAAGTTTGCTACAGTACATGCTTAAATAAATATTGAAATGTGTTTATTTGAAACATATTTTTATGAATCTGATTGGTTTCCGTTGTTTTGATAGTTGACATCTAATGTGCTTGGAAACGTTGATCCTTTCGGCATTCTTTCCACCTAAATATAGATCAACATTGAACTGATTCAGTAGGAATTTCTTCAGAACCAGGTTAAGTTCAGAGCCTCGGCCAATGTTGAGTTTGCCACTTTTATCAACATATATTGTCAGAATATCTCGACGAAACTACTATCCTGAATAATTTCTTCGCATTTGGGTGAAAACAACAAAAATGAAAAAATATTATAGTTAACGACAGAGGAAGTGCTAAAGTCTTTGGAACCAACTGAAAACCACATTTCCAGTTATAGCGGAAATCCTCACTAAAATAGTGATATAACTTCAAAAGAACTTAACCAAGATGTTAGGTAATCCTTAAAACGCCAAAAACCGGTGCAAATATACTACTTTAAAATGTCGTTTCAGCAATGAGAATAAAAGATGGAATAATAGCACGTACAACAAAGTATTAAATGAAGCAATAAAAAATCACTAAAGCTTATGTTAGAAATGTCATGTAAAAGTGGGTTTTAATATAACGACCAAAAAATGAAACTTACTTAACTGATGTTCTTCATGGCAGTCATCAACCAAGCGAAAGGGAAATCAATAGGTTACAAAGTAGGACTTTGTAGGGATGTACATCAGTTGAAATCTGCAAATCACAGAAGCACAGACTGATGGAATTTTCAGTTCAAATCTCTTAGTAGTGTAGGTGGTAGCAATATTGGAAGTAATAGAAAATGTTAGGTATCTAAGACATGATTCCAAACGTATATCCCAGTAAAATAAGTCTAAAAAAGAAGAAAATTCATGGAGAATTCAGACCAGTGTTTGAACAAACGCAAAGAATAGATGCATCTGAACCATTACAAATGATTTTTAGCCATGTCTTTTAAAGTCTCTAACCATCGGATACTAGGTAGTTCTTACCTACTGCAATAGCTCAGCAAAATTGTCAGTCGCCTAAAGTATTTGTGCTTCTTTGGGTTCCGCCGCCCCTAGATTTGTTACAGCCAACTCCTACACCAGACAGAGATGCTCATCGTTGCAGTCGGTGGTTGGGCATTCGTAACGCATATCCGAACCACTTCAACTGATGACCACTCACTACTTTATTAAATGACATGCCATCCTAATCCAAACCACATATTAAGAAGTATATAAGTCCAACAGTATTATTGAATAAAGTCTCATTCCAGTAGTTTCACACAGGAAAGAGCTTTCGAAGAAGGAATATTACGATATGGGCCGTGGTAAATACAGCGGATAATTAGTAATTGTAGGTAGGATTTATTAGAACAGCAAGAAAGCAGGGTGATGAACCAAGCTATTATTGTTAGTTAGATGGAAATATATGATATACGCAGAGACTTTACAAAGAGAGAAAACAAATTATTTATACTTTGTGATTAAACAAACCATGAAATACACGTGCGAGTGGAAAAAATATGCATTTGTCACCAAAGATCATATTGATATAATATTAAGGGTATATTAACTAAGTAGTATTGTAAACCGGAAGCGTCATTCACCGAATATCACTTTATTTGTTGACAGTTATGTTGATGTTCCGTTAATTGAAGTTTGAAGTGATCTTTTGTTTTATCGAGTTCTCACCATAGAGCGCAATTGAACGTTCGTCCCGTGAAGGCATGAGTTTCCAGAAGAAGGTAGCTTGCAATGCGATATGCAAAATCAACTATATTAGCCCATCATTATAGATGCGCAAGGTCATCTTCTTGGTCGGTTGGCCTCTGTAGTAGCCAAAACATTGCTAAATGGCCAGAAAGTAGTCGTAGTGCGGTGCGAAAGCATCAATATATCCGGATCCTTTTATCGAAACAAATGTAAGTCTCTAGTATTAAGCTTACTGTTCAGTGAAATATCTTGACTTCCTTAGAAAGCGAATGAATACTAACCCATCAAGAGGTCCTTACCATTTCAGGGCACCCGCGAAAATATTTTGGCGGACCGTCCGTGGTATGCTTCCTCACAAGTTGCATCGTGGAAAGCAAGCTCTCGACAAACTCAAAGTTTTCGAAGGCATACCTCCTCCGTACGACAAGAAAAAACGTATGGTCGTTCCCTCAGCACTTCGAGTGATCCGACTGAAGCCCGGTCGAAAGGTTGGTTGTTATATTTATTAATCTCTTATAGTTCTCCGTATTATCTCGTTTGTCTGATGACGTCGGGTGGAAGTACAAAAATGTGATTGAAAAGATGGAAAATCGTCGGAAAGCCAAGGCTGCTGTCTGGTATAAAAGAAAAAAGCTGCTCCAAAAACCAAGTGAGGCTGCCAGAGGACAGGCTAAAGAGGCAATTGCCCCATATCAGGCAATCTTGAAACAATATGGTTACTCCTAAATCTGTATATTCTGTGACTTCATAAAGACGGTTTTCACGGATAACGCTCAGTTTTCATCTCTTGTACCGAATCTAAGTTTTGAAATTAACATCGATCATATGGTTATTGCAAAAAAAGTTGTGGAGTATATTTTTGTTAAAGTTACTAGTGAACGCCAAATGTCATAGCTTAACAGGGTGTGTCTAAATGATGTAAGATCGTCGTGTTCACAATCAAATCCCTTTCTAACCCCTTATCTTCGCATAACTTATCACCAGTAACTCGATTTTCATAAACTTTTACGATGTTAGTGTACCTGGAGCCAGCTCCGGATTTCTTGTCTCCTGGATTCTTATTTATATCCTTCTTTACGTTGCCGTGAAGTTTTCAATACCTCGATGTCAGTCGTTCTGTCAGCTACCATGTAGAACCTAGTACGTGAGTACATCAGTTCATGTAGCCATACCACATTGGCGCAAGGAAACAGTTGTCGATTTAAATCCCACAGTGTGAGGGTTAATAGAAGAATCACTGCTAATAGAGAAAATAAATATTTAAAATAATAAAGTATAGTTTAGTGGGATAACTTCGGAAAGACTTAATAAGTATTGATGACAAATTTGAAAAAACATGGTGGACGTACATGCGTCATTGCAAACTATGCTGAGCAATGCCCTTCAAAGTCTCCCCAGAGATTGCTGACTTTCGTTTCGCGCACCCCAATCGGGTATCCTACATGTACCGACAGGACTCCACTTGTCGGCGACCTCATGGATTTCTGCCATGCTTTGGTTTGGCCTTAATTAGCTTTCTACCTACCTACTTCTACAACTCAAAACAGCGCGCCGAGGCAGCCGGTGGTTGGGCATACGCAGTACATGTCCAGATCACCGAAACTGATAAAGTTCCATTACTACGCTACATATTTGCCATGCTCACCCAGGGCTTGTTTCCTAATGGCAGCATTAATTATGCGGTTGTCTCACGATACATCGTCAATGCTTCTAAGAAATTCATCATCGATTACTAGTAACCTACGAACATCTACTCCTACCGGCCATGTTTCGCATCCCTTAGGTGTACGGAGAGAAGTACTGTGCAGTTCACACGTCTTTAGTAAACAAACCGATATCGTCCAAATCATAGGAAAAGCCGACAGGGAATTCAGTGTCCGTGCTGTGCTTTCGTCGGTCACCAGGCCCCAGAACGAGCGACAGTCCTCTATCGAACCTCTCCATCGGTGGCTGATGGCAATGTGACCTAGTTGGGCCAGCTCTGGGGATCGCCAGGTCCAAAGATGTTTTACCCTATGCTTAAAGTTAGTGTTTGTTGGAAATAGGCGGTTGTCTGAGCATAGTTGCAGCAGACGGTCGCCATTATCTGTTCTTTGAACCGAGACACCACAAGATCCACCCAGGTATCTTTTTACCTAATTGAGCATTAAAGTCACCAGCCATTATTACTATATCAGAGTGCCTAACGTTTTGGATTAGGTCCGATAGCTTTCTGTAGAACTCATCTTTCACATCGTCTGAGCTGCAGTCAGTGGGGGCGTAGGCAGATACAACAAAGAGACAACGGCGAGTGACCCCATCTTTCCGAGTCCTTACTGTCCCGTTCAGTCGGAAAGCGCACGAGCGACTACCTACTGGGATCCAGTCTAGGAGAGCTAGTTCAGCCCTAGGACTCAATGCTATATCTACACCAGCGAGACCCCGCGAAGCAGCATCAGGGTTTCCAGATACACGAAGGGTAAATCGAGTAGCCTCTTTATTTTTACATGGTGAGGTCAGACGAATTACACTATTCGGATCCTGTATGCGCGTTTCCGAGACGCAGCATACATAGATTAAGCTAGATTCTAATGTCCTAGCTAAGGAAGCCTGTTGCCTAATTTGACACAGTTTCCGTACATTAAAAGCTCCAACATGTAGTCTAAAATGGGGTTTCATGAGACCAGGAGTGACGTTTCGTGAACTCGCATCGTTTGCATTAGTGGTGCAGTGTGATGAAGAAACGTGAAAACAGATGTTAGGGGGTGTAGTAAGGATTTCATTTTGACCAATTCGGTCTCGTGTGCTGTTACGGGTATGAGGGCGGTTGTCACTTCCCGGCTGCTCACCGTCGGAAGGTGTTTCCTGAGGAACCTGAAAAGGAAGGTAGGTTAGTGCCGCTTTTAGAGACCTGGGTTCGTGACCGCAGAGCCCAAGGGACAACTGCTTGCGGCCGGTCACGCACGCCCTTTTTATGAGAGGTTTTCTCATTATGCTCCAGACAATATATCTCGTCTGAGTCGTCAAGATATGGAGGCTCGATCACCAAGTTAAGATAGCTTCTAAGGTCAAGTACTTTCTTAATCAAGGACTCACTGTACCGTATGGTGATATCTATGCACTAAGGCATTTGAGAATAGACTAGTAAATAAGCCGATTATGTAAACCTATCTATTGAGTAAGACTTACCTCTTTACACGTTACAAGATCCCTAAAACAATGTTACTTTTTACAATTGACGCAACTCGATATAAGTGAATTTTAAACCGTTTGTTCTTACTTCTTCTACATTTGATAGTAAATGTTATCAGTACAAAGTCAATAAACACGCAATCTGTAATTAGTACGTACTAGAGATATTTTCAGCTTAACATTGGAAGGAAATTTATGAAAATCGAAAAGACTAAGCAGTAGTTAATCCACCGGTCCATCAGTCCGACTTGTAGTTTCTGTCTTGACTTGGCAGCCGTGATGATTTAATCGAGTAAACCAACCGCAACAATTGTTTTTTAAGATTTTTTCCTGTCACTAAAGTCAGTCGAGGAACCGTAGGATAAAAAGGGCACCAACTCACTACTTGGGTTTTAATTAAAGTACGAAGTTACTTCCCAATTGTACTCTAGGATTTATCAAATGGTCAAAGCATTAACCAATGTCCCAAATCTATAGCGTTTACAAAGAGAACCAGCTCCCAAGATTTTAGGCAATCACATTATTTAGAACAGAAGTGTAGAATATATTGAGGGAGTTACGTTTTATATTTTGACAGTCAAAACAATGGTATGAAATTTGTAGTCGAGAAAATATACGTGATATCAAAACTGCGCTAATCATGAACACCAATTGCGACGAGGTCCATCAATTAAAAGCAATCGTTTAGGAACTCAATCTAATAAATGTTGAACTTGAGGGATAGAGAACAATGACTAAGCCACCAACCTCAAATTAATAAGATATTACCAAACGGAATCTTCGCATCACAGGTTAAGGCCGTGTTAGCACTTGTGAAAATTTTTAATGATGGTGGTCTAGTTTTAAGTTAGATTGACCGAGATCTTATGTAGAATCTGGGAACTAGGCGTAATTCCATCCGACTGAGTGGTCTCAATCCCTGATTGTCCCAATTTATAGGACAGGACAAAAGTTTTCTGGTGACGAGCACAGGGGAATAGGTCCAACTAATATAGTGTCTAAACCGTTAGCCTCGATTATCCGTAGACACCTAACTATAGCTTGTGAAGAGTAGACTAGAGAAAACCAGGCTAGTTTCCAGTGTTAACGTGGCTCTATAGACCACATTTTCACTCTACGACAGGTTCTGGAACACGGGCACACACTTATGCGTCCAGCAATAGTTGTCTTCCCAGACCTTAAGGCGGGATTTGACTCTGTTGATAGTGAGGTTCTGTGTCAGTGCCTGTCATCAAAAGGTGAACCAAAGAAGTACATTAACCTCATACAAGCTTTCTACTCGAGCACCACCGGTCGGGTGAGAGCCTATGGCGAACTGTCTTTGGAATTATCTACTTCAAGCTGTGACCATCGAGAATCTCTAATATCTGCATTCTTGTTTCAATGTTACCATTATCCTTTTCAGATTTTTCAGGGGTTAACCTTCGACCAGCAGGCTCGCTTGTTGAGCTAGAATATGCCGATGACAATTCTTTTTGGTGAAGATGCTGTTGAAATGCAGAGTCTTCTGACCACCCTGAGCAATAATACAAGCATGTTCGAGATGCGGCTTTCCCACTCGAAATGAAAAATGTTGCTTCAAGACTGGCTTGTGTCGGCACCTGAACTAGAGATAGGGAGTGAAGCGGCTGAACGTTTACATAAACCTCTCTAACCTTCTTCAAAAGTTAGACACAGATCTTATAATAGTTGCCGGTGACTTCAATGCTCAAGTAGGCAAACTAAGCGGAAAGGAAAGCCACTTGGGTGGATCTTATGGTGTTACGATTCAAAGAACGGATAATGGAGACATTCTGCTGAAGCTATGTTCAGATAACCGCCTATTTCTATCAAATATTATTCTTAGGCACAAAGAAAAACACCTTTTCCACAAGGGAACCCACAGAATAGACTCAATACTGAACCCAGCTAGACCACATTACAATCAGCCTCCGATAGAGAGGCTCAATAGAAGATTGTCGCTCGTTCTGAAAAGTATGCTTGGATTCAGATCATGCTCTAGTATGAGCGCGTATTTCTCTATGGCTTACTGGACATAATAAGGACACGGGAAGGAGACCAATTAGAGTTCTACTTAACGATAACAAAGCCAAGAGCCTATTTTGAGCGCATGTAAAAAACAATAAACAGCTATCTAAGTGATGCCCAGTCTGAGACAGTTTTGAATTATAAGCAAATAGTTAGTCAGTAACAATGAAGAACTTCCTACGTGGGCACATCAGTTCAGGTTGCCATACTGCATTATCACAGAAGAATAATTCAGTGAGACAACTTTAGAAAAAGAAAGATAGACGTGATGGGGAATTCAGAAGTTCAGAGATCACAAAGAGTGAACGCACCTACGCCGTTGTAAATGATATTGAGCCATGTCGTTCAAGGTCTCTAACCATCGGTGACTTTCATCTCGCGGACCCCAACCTGGTAGTCGACCCTTACCAACATAACTCAATCCAGTTGTCAGTGACTTCATGGATTTTCGCCATGTTTTGGTTTGGTTGCCCCTGGCTTTCTTCAGGCCAACTCCTACACCACTAATCATAGCTCGTCGACGCAGTCGGTGGTTGGACATTCGTGACACAAGTCCCAACCACCTCAGCTGATGGAGTCTCAATACTACAATTGATTTGTCATCCTTACCTAGTACCCGTTTCCTAACACCATCATTGCTTATTCGGTGGTCCTAGGATATACGGGCAGTGCTCTGAAGGCACCTATAACCGAATACCAGTAACTTAAGAATATTCTCCACTCTTATTGGTTATGCTTCAGATCCATAAAGTAGGACGGAGCGAAATGATGAACAGTAAACTCGTTCTTTGTTAAGCAGACGGATATCAGTCTGTAGACCCTTCAGGGCTACTGCCGGTCCCAAGCCCGTAT